CTTCCCTTCCTTCTCCCAAGTGCTAAGTGCCCATAGTAGTGCCCTTATTAAAGGAGCCGGACGGAAAGCACTATAATATAAAAAAAAAGTATATATAGATATGTGGCAAGGTACTACTAATCCTTATTTACTAAGTACATGTGTGTGTGTTTTCGTACGCCGTAACTCTTGATACGTGTGTTCCNATATATATATGTGTGTGTAGGTAATAGGTGCGCGCAGTTGCTAAACTTTACTACATGGATGACGATTATACTTACGTGATATTACATTGTATTAAGAATTGAATACAAAGTAGATCTTGTGCCCCTTAAAATTTACACTAAATTTTTAGAAGATCGGTTGTAAACTTTTTGCAAACTGCTGCAAAAAGCAAAAAATGGTCCCTCCGCAAAAAAGTTGGACATGGCTGGTTTTTCAACATATTGCCATTTTTTAAACGGCACTGTACTCGTCGAGAGTTATTTCACAACCTACCAAAACGTCGTTTTGATCAACAGTCCGGAAGTACGCGAAAAATTGATGTCAAAAACCGGATATTTTCCGTGAATGCGGTGGCGCGACAAGCCGCTCGCAAACTCTGGAACTATGATACAAAGAGGGGGTATGGACTACGGCGGCGGCTTGCCACGCCACCGCATCCACGGAAAATATCCGGTTTTTGGATGACTGCCAGCACGATTTTTCTCGCGCTACTCAAGAGCCACTCAAGTGCCGCTCAAGTACTGCCAAAGTTCCGACGATCCAGCGACAAATTCACGCGACACAGGTATCACCAAAGTGCTGCCCAAGTCCTACCGTAGTCCTGCCACCCAAGCCCCGTCAAAGTAACGCTCAAGTGCCGCCCAAGTACCGCTTAAGTACCACTAAAATCCCACCTTCTAAGCACCACTATAGTCACGTTGCTTAAGTACCGATTAAGTACCGCCAAGGTACCGTTATTCAAATTTCTACCAAGTACCGCTGAAGTTCCGCTATTCAAGTACCACCCAAGTACTGCCACACAAACGCCGCCCAAGTCTCGTTGAAGTATTGCCTAAGTGCCGACGAACTACTGCCAAAGTCACGTGACATATGTACCACCCAAGTACTGCCAAAGAACTGATGAAGTGCCACCCAAGTCCCAAAAAAGTACGACAGTACGACTGCTTAATTGCCTTACAATTAGTACAAAAGTTTTATTTTCGAAGTTCCGCCATAGTAGCGCTGTTTAAGTGCCATTTAAGTACACGCGGTAATTGAGTAGTATTGTAAATTCATTTACTTAATGAATAATCGTCAAAAAATTATTTTTCCAACAGATTTTTACTCAGAATAAGCTGTTTTACACACTGGTTTCCGCTTTTCAAGTACTTATTTATACCCTTAATCCTAGGTAAATCCTAGATAAGTCTTACTTAAATTATAAGTAAGCCCCAATAAATACCTATTATAACTTGAACTAAGTTTGAGTTAAGTTACAATTGAACAATGTTATATAAGTTCAAAGTTTCTCCTGAGCAGCACTGAAGTGGTTCTTTAGCGGGTAGTTTTAGCTTTTATTATTCAATACTCACCATGACAGTAAAACATAGGAAGTTTAGAAATAATCTTTAATATAATATTGTTATCGTAAAAACAGATGGTTAACAACTAAAATTAAATAAAATTTAAACACCATAAAGCTCCAATTATCAATATAATTATAAATTTAATTCATATGTGTTAATTTTGGTACGTATTGCTTTCTAGGAATCGATTAATATTAAACTTTGATTATTTTAGGCGTTTTCTAATTATTTGGACTAATAGGTGTTTCAGGTGTCACTAATTATACACGCATACATTGTCAAATGTTTTGACATATTACTGCGCTAACGCAGATGTGACTGTCAATAATGGACAACAGTAATATCTGGAAATTAATGAGAAATAAATTAACGTAACTGTATTAAAAAACAAAGTTTTTGAAAAAAATTACAATATGATATACTTTTAAGTGGCACAAAACTTGAATTGGATCGAACGATTTGGATAGGAAGAAAGGACTTCGAAATAGGGGGTCGAAGGTTACAATAATACTACTTGAAAAAACACCATCTCGTAAAAAAAATAAAACAAATTAATGTAATACAGCAAAATGTTTCAAACAGGCGTGCGAAAATATAACTCTTAAAAAACAAGCAGAATTAAAATTGTTAAGGTTTACTAGCTTCTACTGTAATAACATATGTCTCCTGCAATAAATGCATGTGATTAAACAGTAATCATGTTATTGCATTGTAAGTACAGTAATGCACAAAAAGCTTTACTTTAATAAGAAAAATATCTTATCACTAAATAATCACACGCAATGATTAAAAGGCCAAAAGGAATAAATACCACGTAAAAACATATTTAAACATAATGGTATGGGTGAATAAGCACCTGTATAATGTGTGCAATAAACTATATCTGTACAATGCTTTCCTATTTTTATAGTGACTCCTAGACGTCGTTGTCAGCGTATTAAAAAAACAGAGAGTTGCTCCGAACGGTCGCACGACGAACGAACGTGAAACAACAGAGACTCTTGAATTTGTCATCGGAAACACTTACTGGTGTGGTATTTGTGATCAGCGAGCTTAAAACCCTACACGAAAGTACCTACATCGGACATTGTCCTGCAGCTCTAGGAGATGGCATAGATATTGTCTACCCTGAGCTCCAGGTACCCGGAAGACACTCGGTGCCATAGTATTCGTGATAAGCTACCCTAAAAACCCCACGAGAAATTATCTATATCTGGCATTGTTCAGCAACTCCAGTAGATACTATCTACTACGGCTTCTTGGTGACTCAGAAACACTCGCTAACGTGGTATGCGTGATTAGGGACCTTATAAACTTTCGAGCAACGTCAATCGCTTTACTTGCTTTATTATTCATCGATTTTTTATATTCGTTGCATTTGGCTTCGAGATAAACTTTTAAACTAATAAATATAAATCATCGCACTCTACAAGACGGCACTGCCATATTACAAGGCATGACGAAATACGGTGTAGGTACGGCTTACCTTATTGATCTATGATTTGGTTATGGTACGACTGCAGCTAGTCTGTCATTATAATTCGATGTTTGGGGCATTGTGGATTTTTCAACTTAATTCCTTGCAAAAGCCTATGGATTTAAATAGTTATAATAATGTGTATCCCGCGTTAAAATTTAACGAAAAACACGAAAAACATAAAAAAACTCAATATTTAGTCAACATTCGTGAAAATTATTTTTTTATTTTTAGTTACTACGATCCTCACATTATTTTTATTAATTCCATTAAAAAAAGCATTTTCGAATTTCTCTAAGGCCACATTTTTGCTATGGTATGATTGCTTACTCAACTTACAATAGGCTGTCCAACTTAAACATGTCACTTTGTATGTTTAAGGTATTTTTACTTCTGACGTCATCACGCAAAATGGTGAGGACTGGGGGACAAAGTTTGAATTCACACAATAAGTTTAATCACGACTATGAAATTTATTGAGATATTCCAGTTACTCGATTTCATTACAAAAACTTCTTTTTTTTACGAGCTATCGAATGGGTATTAGATATACGGCATTATTTCTTTATAAATAAGTAAAACCGATGAATAAAGTTGTCGCGGGCAAAAAGTAATTTTTTTAAAACCCTTTACAAGCATCTGATCGCACCTGTTTTGCAATATAGCAACAATCGATATTTGATTTTTAATTAAAAATTTGTACTGCATGGCATAACATCACGTAAATAGCCTAAAACTCAGCTCAACTGAAAAGTGTGGATTGCTTGGTTAGAGTGCAACTTACTCCTATATCAGAGTATATACAGTCTCATGAAAAGCTCTACCCAGCAGCGGATGCGCACTCTAACCAAGCAATCCACACTTTTTAGTCTAGCTCAGTTTCAGGCTATTAACGTGATGTTATGCCATACAGTACAAATTTTTAATTAACAATCAAATATCGATTGTTGCTATAATATTGTTTGTTTTTCGAAAATTTATAACACACTTTTACTGACGAAAGTTGAGTCTCTTCTTACTTTTTTAAAGTTTTTTTTAGTCATGCAAACAACATGTTTTCAAGTTTTTTTACTTGAACTATCGAAAACAAGCTGGTTTAAAGTATGTTTCGTAATTTGTTCACAACATTTAATGGTTAAACTTTTGAGCCCTGACGAGTTGAACACAGTTAAATTAACCGTGATACAGTAGGCGGACGTATTCACGCACGGTAAGTACAACTCACATTAACACGGTGTCGTATGGGAGCCCCCGCACACACCCGCTCACCACCACCTCGGAGAAAACAACCGAACCACCTTAAAATAATTATAGAAAGTTGGTTTAATAAGGTACGAAAATTCTATTTTTTCACCACCTTAAGTCATTAATTTGTCATGAGTGACAAATTAAAAACGTCTTGGAATATTTCCCTTTATCATAGAGTTAATAATTAACATCCACTCAAATTGATGGGAAGTTTACATGTTGTGAAAAAAAGTTCTTATTCTTCAATTTCTTGCGTGTTATCGGCTTGCATGTTTTGTCTGGCTGAATATTGGATAGTGAAGGATAGGAAGATTAAGCGCCACAGAAGTCGTACTTTATCATGCCAAATTTAGTTGGAAAATACAATGAATTTAATATATCGTATTTAATATCCCTATGTCCCTGAAAATAGACGAACATGTTACTTATCATAGAAAATAAGTTTTTCAAACTATTTTATTATTTCCATGATTTAGTTTTGCATTGACCATCACCTTGGTAGGATATGAACTTTGACTGGCATTATAAAGATTAGGAAGTGGGATTGGTTCGCTAAGACAAAAAAATAACCGAAAAAACAAGAGCAACATTCTGTATACTTTAGATAATTGAAAAAATTAAGTTTAGTAATCAGTTAAATGCCACCAAATGTAGAAAAATAGAGGGATTTCGTTGAAAGCATTTCAAACATAACTTTTTTTTTACCATAAATTGACGATACATACAAAATTTTTTTGTGAATGTTTCTTTCATTTGAGATGAGATAATTAATGACTGACTGTTACGAAATAACGTGTAACTACGATAAACTTGAGCGAGATACTGTTTTCTATTCATATAAATTCTCTTTAATAACATATTCAAGTATGTTGTAATACACCCACTGTTAATCGACTAAACTTTGAGGTAAAATTTTGGTCAAGTTATCCTCACATAGGTTTACCATCAAATTTTTTACCTCCCAAGCGGTTGTTTTTCAGGAAACGAAATGTGTTACTTCAATTGATTTGATTATGTATAACAGTTCGCACCAATTTTTGTCATAAGGGCCTATACAGCAACTTGGCACAACGACAAGACAACGCACACGCGTAGATAGTTAGAGCAATGATGCGTAATTATAGCATCAGCAAAATAAACGGATGACACTTTGTATCATTGCAGGAGAAGCGATTTTCAACCTTTAGTCCATTTAAACTAAGGCTGCAGTCACAATAGAGCAAGCAGGATAGGAATTTCTCCATAAGCGGCTGTGTTAAGTGTATTGCGCTGCAGGATAGCCCTATTGCGCGGCGCAATAGACTTTACATAGCCGCTTACGGAGAAATTCCTATCTTGCTAGCGCTGTTGCGCTCCATGTGACTGCAGCCTAATGCTCCCCATTCATTAAGAACCAAGATATGAGGCGATGAAAAAATTTTTTTTCTTGTTAACCTAACCAAACTATAGTTAACAGAAAAGTAACACCTATCGTATTTTGCACAATTTCTTTCTAGCCGAAAAGTAACGGCTAATTTAAAACACGCAATTATTAAAAAAAAAATTTTTTTAGTGTATTGTCAATCGCATTGATCATAATTCACTTGAAAATCTAACGTTGTTTATTTGTTTTACTCGCATTCGTAGTGATCATACTATATTCAGCTTGATTTTTTTTCTCAAAATTTGGGCGCACTCAGAATTTTTCCTTTTGCTCGTTAAATTCCCTCGCTCATATTTTGTTAAATGTATATTTAAGGAGCGAATAAACGAACATAAGATTAAGAGAAGTGTATATATATATATATATGTATACATGGTATGTATCATTGCAGGAGAAGCGATTTTCAACCTTTAGTCCATTTAAACTAAGGCTGCAGTCACAATAGAGCAAGCAGGATAGGAATTTCTCCATAAGCGGCTGTGTTAAGTGTATTGCGCTGCAGGATAGCCCTATTGCGCGGCGCAATAGACTTTACATAGCCGCTTACGGAGAAATTCCTATCTTGCTAGCGCTGTTGCGCTCCATGTGACTGCAGCCTAATGCTCCCCATTCATTAAGAACCAAGATATGAGGCGATGAAAAAATTTTTTTTCTTGTTAACCTAACCAAACTATAGTTAACAGAAAAGTAACACCTATCGTATTTTGCACAATTTCTTTCTAGCCGAAAAGTAACGGCTAATTTAAAACACGCAATTATTAAAAAAAAAATTTTTTTAGTGTATTGTCAATCGCATTGATCATAATTCACTTGAAAATCTAACGTTGTTTATTTGTTTTACTCGCATTCGTAGTGATCATACTATATTCAGCTTGATTTTTTTTCTCAAAATTTGGGCGCACTCAGAATTTTTCCTTTTGCTCGTTAAATTCCCTCGCTCATATTTTGTTAAATGTATATTTAAGGAGCGAATAAACGAACATAAGATTAAGAGAAGTGTATATATATATATATATGTATACATGGTATGTGCATGTATGTGTCATGTCTTGAAGCCCTCGAAGGTCGAAGGTTATGCAGTATACCTATACATGTAGTACATCAGGTCCTGGCCTTACTCTTTCGAAAACCTCATTACAATACTGGCCAGGGCCTACCAAGGCTGCCTAGCCAAGGCCTGGTGTTCAGCTACGGCCGTCTAGTGGTCATCTCTTGTCGGTATGTGGCGGATGAGCCGCCATTAATAACACACAGCGTTGGGTTAGGTGGATTCAATATCGGTACTTTTTCCCTAGATCGTATTTATAGCTATACGATCTAGGGAGAATGTTCCGTCGAGCAGACAGCACAGCAGTGGAGGGGCATTGCAAAAGACACGCGGAAATTCAAAATTGTAATATTAATAACACAAGTGCCTATCACCCAATGACCTGGGGCGCTAACTAGCCAGTCTGTTAAATAAATAATTATTAAAATAACACAAGCGCCTACCACCTTATGACTCGGGGCGCTTACTGGCTACTATTGAATAAGAAATTATCAAGGAATTACAAGAGCGCCATTTAAAAAGATATTTTTCGTACTAGATAGGCAATCAAAATTGTGATATGTTTACATTTGTTATCGATCAACTTTTTATTATTTGATAGTGTTGCAAATAAGTGTCCTGGATCATCAGGAAAAAGGTGCTTGACATATTTATTGATAATTATTTATTTACAAGATTTGCAATTAGCGCCCCAGGTTATACGGTGATAAGTGCTTGTGTTAATAATAAGTATTTATTTAACAATGTGGCGAGTTAGCGCCCTGGGTCATTGGATGATAGGCGCTTGTGTTATTTTAATAATTATTCATTTAACTGAGTTGCCAGTTAGCGTCCCGGGTCATTGGGTGATAGGCGCTTGTGTTATTAAAAATTATTAATTTAACAGAGTGGCCAGTTAGCGCCCCGGGTCATTGGATGATAGGCACTTGTGTTATAAATATTACAATTTTGAATTTCCGCGTGTCTTTGGCAATGCCCCTTCAATGCTGTGCTGTCTGCTCGACAAAACATTCTCCCTAGATCGAATAGCTATATATACGATCTAGGAAAAAAGTTCCGATATTGAGGAGCTGTTCACATAAACATTTTTTGCTTATTTCATTGTGAGCGTTCATATTGAAAAGGGGGTTCCACTGTTCCACTAAACTCAAAGTAAGTGAACAGACTGAGCAGACGTATACCTCTTTTTCCATCAGGCAACAAGGCCTACATGGTTGCAACAATGTTAACTGACAGAGAACACAGTATAGGTCTGTTTAGTCTGTTTACTCAATTTGAGTTTAGCAGAACAGTGAAATCCCCTTTTCAATATGAACATTCACAATAAAATAAGCAAAAAATGTCTATGAGAATAGCTCCTAAATCCGCCTAACCCAACGCTGATAGCACATGTAAAAGAGTGGTCAATTAAAAATGGTAATATAACATTTCACGTCACATCACTCAACAATACCATTCTACAATCGTGATTTCGCTGCACTGCGCAATTGCGTGGGGGCAATACAATTAAAGAAGAGGCCCTGCAACGACTTGAGCACAGAATTAGATCCCAATCAAAAACTTTAAAACTGAATCAATGCTGAATCAACGTTGATTTTAGCGATGAATCAACGCTGAACCAATGTTGAATCAACGTTGATTCCATAAATGATGGAACACTGAAATCAAACGTAATTTACATTGTTGACTCAACAATGATTTAACGTTAAATCAGCGTTAAATCAGCGTTGATTTAAACGTTAATTTAAAAATAAAAATATAATGCGTATTCAATACAGTTTCACATCAAATACCTGAGCCCCCTTTTTTGGTGTTACCATACGGATAGTACCTCCATATTCGTCAATGTATCTGCTCCAAATGTTATTATACTACTTTTTAATTTTTTTAAATTTAATTTAAACGTTTTGATTAACGCTGAATCAACGCTGATTCAACGTTAAATCAGTGTTGAATCAACAAAGTAAATTACGACTGATTTTAGTGTTCCGTCATCCATGGAATCAACGTTGAATTAACGTTGATTCAATTTTGGATCAGCAATGATTCAACGCCAAAATCAACGTTGATTCAGCATTGATTCAGCATCGAAGTTTTTGATAGGGATATCTATGTACACTGGAAAACAGTGGGAGGTGCCATGGTATGTACAATAAAACAAGGTAGGCCCATGTGTAGAAAATGTAGTCATCTACTTGAGAGAGAAAATATTATTTTAATGTTTCGTCCCGGGAGCACGCCAGGACTCATCAGTAAGGCTGATGACGTGCTTCTTGCCTTAGACACCTATATCGGTGAGGATACCTTGGCTCAATCTTAAACGCCCTTATATATTAACCAACATGAAATCCGGGCACTTGCGAGTAGATCAACTTCAATGGTTGGACACCTAGCTGATGGTTGGAGAAAGACGGAGAGCAGTAGTGAACATGTGGTAGTGAGGGTCCCCACACACTCCCCTTCCAGTTACGACGCCGGAATGGCCAGATAAAGGAGTGGTGACTATATGTGAGAAGTGCACAGTGACGTGTATGACGGGCATGACGTGGTGTATTAACAGAAGGCAAGATAGGGGAGAAAGAAGTCGATAGTTGATAAAGTAAATCTCTGAATCCTCCATGCTCTTGTAGAGTCCTAGAGAGAGTCGAGCAGATGCTCTAGCCCGACCGAGACCAGAGGTCAAATCGAAGAAAGAGAGGGAAGCTAGTTGTTGTACCCGAGGCGTAGAGAATACGGAAATGCTAATAGAAGAAGGTTGCGCAAGTTCAAATTTACGGGATCACCACCAATATGGCTATTGAGTGGTGCCATGAAAAGAGAGAAGCGGAGAGGCTTTTTGAGAAGAAGGTTGCATGTTCAAATTTTACGGGGTCACCAGTGTAGGAAATGTTATATATTAACCAACATGAAATCCGGGCACTTGCGAGTAGGTCAACTTCAATGGTTGGACACCTAGCTGATGGTTAGAGAAAGACGGAGAGCAGTAGTGAACATGTGGTAGTGAGGGTCCCCACACATGCACATGTTTATATGACCAAACCAATCAGAGAAGAAACCTGTATGGCGTCATAATCAATGCTAAATTCAAATTGTATGTACACAAATGAGCAGCAAGCAACAAACTGTTTTCGCTAATTTTTGAGAAGGTGAGTGTTGATGGTCACTGTTACTTGAAAATACGAAGCTTCATTGATTGGGAGTACTAACAGCCCCCCGTTTCGGCTTCGCCCGAGACTTACTAGATAAAACACCGTAGTGTGTTGACATGTAATGAGAAATGTTTTCAGTTAGAAACTTTACACATACACCTGACACATCTCAGAACAAAAATCTTATTAAAAACATATCTTTTCGGAATCCATATAGTTTATTTGGTCAAATAATCAGGTGTGAAAATTAAAAAAAATAATTATGCTGAAAAGTACCGTGCGTTCTTTATGTCATAAAATAA